TCAAATTAAATATATCCAATTTTAGAATCCTGCATGTAATATGGAAAGATATAGAACTCCACGTACTATATATTATAAAAATTTAAACAAATGGAACCTACCTTACATTTACTTGAAGTTGAATATCCAATAATAAGCAATTTGTTTTTAGATATAGAGGGTTGGATAAAAATTTGGGTAAGAAAGATTAATTTATTAATAATTTATTTAATTAATAAAATACAAAAATTAAATCAATTTTTTATAAATAAAGAATACAATTACCTTATTAGAGCCATTAAAAAAGCTACTATTGTACTTTCTGCAGCATCATATCTAACAATTGCTGATATTCATTTTTTAATAATGGAAATACAAGAATATCTTCAATTTTAAATTGATAAAGATGATTTTAATCAATCAATAATAGCATCTTCAATTAATCAAAAAATTGGTGAATATTAGAACATTATTGATTCAGCAACTTGTATTGCGATAATTTTAGATTTACATACAAAACTTGCACTTTTTAAAAATAAACAACCAATAACAGATGTATTAAATGATCTTCAAATTGTTATGAATAGATATCATTTACCTTTACTAACTTTACCTATACAAATTACTGTTAGTAATACTAAAATTACAATGCATGATTAGTTTAATCATGCAAAACGTCATCAAATTAATATAACTTTATCATTATTAACAAATAACAATGAAATAATAAGTTCTTCAATTGCTTCTGAGTTGGATTATTATATTGTTTTACTATATAATGAGAATGTAATATCATTAATATGGTAGCAAGGTTATCAGAAAGAATTTTCTGTTTTATCCTGTATTGCAAGAGATTATTTGTCGATCCAAGTTATAAGTATAGCTTGTGAATAGGCATTTTCTGTCACAGTAAATACTATTACTAAAACTTGTAACAAATTAGATCTTATGACTAGTATTTCATAAAATTAGATCAGATCAAATTTTATTCAAATCTGATCTAATCTGATTTTTATTTTTTAAGATCTGAATTTAATCTGAATCTGACAGATTTATTAAAATCCAGATTCAATCTGAATCTGATGGATTGAATCTCAAATCTGGATCTGACAGATCGGTTTAAGTTCAAATCTGATCTGATCTGAATCTGAAAGTATTATTGAAAAAAATGAATTTTCAGTCTTAAAAGAAATCTGAAAATGTTTCTTTTTAATGAAAGAAACCTTTTCAGCTCTTAAAAAGTTCTGAAAAGTCATTCTTTTTCATTGAAAAAAACCTTTTTAGCTCTAAAAGAATTCTAAAAAGTCATTGTTTTCATTGAAAGAAACCTTTTTAGATCTAAAAGAGTTCTGAAAAGTCGTTCATTTTCAATGAAAGAAATTTTTTTAGCTTTAAAAGAGTTTAAAAAAGTCATTTCTTTTCAAAAAGAATTCCGAAAAGTTGTTTTTTTTAATAAAAGGAACTTTTCAGCTCTAAAAGAGTTCTAAAAATTCGTTTCTTTTCAATAAAAAGAACTTTTCAGTTCTAAAAGAGATCTGAAAATTCGTTTCTTTTTAATGAAAGGAAATAAATTTTTGACTTTAAAAAAGTTTGAAAATTCATCTCTTTTCATTGAAAAGAAACTTTTTAGCTTTAAAAAAGTTGAATTTAGATCTGACAGATCAGATCTGAATTCAATCTGAATCTGATAGATCAAATTCAAATATGACAGATCAGATCCAAATCTGAATAGATCAGATTTGAATCTGAATCTGAATCTGATAGATCAAATCCGATCTAAATCTAAATCTATGCAAAACATTACCTATAACAGCTAGAGCATCTTTATGTACAAAAAGTTGGATTGCTAATAATATTAGAGAAAAAATAATGTAATATAAAATAATGAAATAATAGATAAATTGTTGCTTATAAATAATAATTTGTAAATTGCATGTGATCAGGTTATGAAATTGTGACACAGTAAATGAGATTTTTGTTAACAACTCTGTTTCTTTGATAAATAAATTATATTATTATAGCTATAATGAATTAAAGGTCACAATTATCTATTTAGAAACTGGTTCTAAATTCAGTTTTGAATCAGTTACAAAACCAGTTATTAAAGATTAGATTATAAGTCTTGATGATAAGACCTGCAAGTTATAAGACCAGAACTGAACCAGAATAGATCTTTCTAATCCTATTTGAAAATGATATTTTATTATTTGAGAATGATATTTTATCATTTAAGAATGATAATTTTATTGTTCAATTAGAATAATTTGTTATCATTCTTAAACGATATTTTATTATTTGAGAATGATGATTTTATCATATTTAAGAATAATAATTTATCATTCAAGAACAATATTTTATTATTTAAGAATGATAATTTTATTGTTCAAGAATAATGTTTTATTATTTGAGAATGATGTTTTATCATTCAAGAACAATATTTTATCATTTAAAAATGATGTTTTATTATTCAATTATAATGATTCATTATCATTCTTAAATGATAGCTATTTTTTCTTCTTGAATAATTTTGATCAGGTTAGGTTAGATCAGATTAAATAAAAATTTAAATCAGGACAGATTTTTGTTTAATTTAATCTGATTCTCTCAATTTAGATAACTTAATTGACCTGATCTAAATTGATCTATTTAGAGCTTTAAGTATAAGTCATCATCTTCATTTATTAGCAGGTAAACTGATAATACTGTTTTTGATTTGCTATTTAAAGTTCTGCATTTAAATATTTTACTTAGATTGAAAAGTTATAAATCATCTCTCTGAATAGTAAGAAAATTACTTTTATTGATCTTAATCTTCAGGTAATTACATTTTTTGAACTAATTATTTTCTGTGATATTGAATATATATAAGAATTCTATTTTAGCAATATATTTGATAATATATTTTATGAATTTTTTTGAAGTAATATATTATATATTTATATAGATATTCTAGATCATTAAGATTATAGAAAGATAAAATATTATCTATTAATTTGTAAGTTTTATGCATTTATATATATATTTACAAAAATTTTGATTAATATAAATAATTTTAAAGATTTAGTATGAAAAGTCTTTCTTATATTATTTCTAAAAGAAGGTAAATCTATTACATTTGATAAGATTATATTAATAAATCTGATAGATAAGGATTTTTTAATATAATTCAAGTTTTTGTTCTTGATCTAAAAAGTTTAAATGTATAATATTATATCTAATCATATATTTGATCATTTTGTGGTCTAGTAGCATTTATGTATATAAGCAATCTCTTTATTTTAATATTTAATTTTATTAAAGAAGACTGTAATTATATTCTAATTACTGATTTTTCATTTCTTTTTTGAACGATCTGAAATGATGTAAAAAGTAAAATGCATAATATAAGAATCAGTTAAATAGAATATTATTACTGTTGTTTATTTATTATAATATATTTTAAAGATTTGTCTATCTATTTTCTACTATTGATAAAGCGATAAAATTTAAGCAAATAGATATCAGAACATTTTGCATAAATATATATAATCCTTCACTTTATTTTAAACTAATTAAAAGACAGATTTTATAACATAAATTGGGATGTAAATTTTTTTTATAAAAGTAAGAGTTACTTATTTTAATAAATGTAAAAATTAATATAATCAGAGTTTTGTTTATATATCCTATATTTAAATAATTGCTTCATTATATTAAATTAAATATGAATAAAAGTTTTTGTGATTTATTTAAGTTTTTTATGTAATATTTATTATATATTTTTAGTAATAACAAAGTTTCTAATTGTAGATAAATATAAGTTACTTTATTTAATAAGTTAATTATATTATTAAATATATATAATTTTAAGAATAGATTTGTTATTCTTAATATTGATCTTTCATGTATAATATTTGTGTAATAATGAAGGTAAGAGTTGTATAAACTTAACTAAAAGAAATATATCTTAAAGTTTTATCAAAGATCTTTCTATTAAGATGTAGTTAATATCAGTTAGTCTTAGATATACTTCTAATACATTAGAATATAATGATAATACTGTAAATAATTGAGTATTTTATTATTTCTATAATATTATGAATTTTTGTGTAAAAGTTAGAACTCAAATTTTGTTTAAAAAAATATTGAAGGTAGGCAGAAAATAAAAATTTTCTGTAATATAAAGATATTATATTAATTTTATCTAAGATGTTCACTAATATTAGAAATTAGAATCTAGTTTATAATTTTGTACAGAATAAATATATAAGAATTTTAATAATTAATATTTTAATATTTTATATTGAACAAGTATATTAATCTAAATTTACTTTTTCAATAAGATAGGTTTATGATAGATAATATGTAATTTAAGTAATTTATTTATATAAAAGTCTTTCATAATAGATGTAGAAGATAATAAGATATTTTTTTAGTATAAATATTTGAAATTTATTATACATACGTTAAAATTTTTCAAATATTATTATGAATTTAGATATAGAAAGTTACATCAATTGGTAAAACCTTTTTTTCACTTTTATAATATATATTTATATAATTTTCATTAATAGATTTCGAGCTTTTTTCTTTAGTTTGATCTTGCGAATCTTTGTTATAGAAGTATGAACTTTTCGAAATTTTTTTTTTTTTTTTGCGAAAAAGGTTGATTGGATAAATTACGCGTTTATTAACATTCAACTTGTATGGCGTAGTAGTGTTTCATTCCATCACGGTTTAGTATAATGATATACTTTTTAAGAAATCCGTTCAAAACAAACCCCTTTTATAGAACTTACCGTGATTTAATTTAACTAATTTTTAATTATTAAATTTATGTTGTAAGGAGTTTGATTTATACAAACTTCCGTAAATATTACGAATTTGGTTGGGCTCATCCATATCATTATATTCGACTTATAAAGACTTTAAGGACCTTTTTATTTTCCTTTTTTTTTTTTTTTTTTTTTTTTTTAAAAAAAAAAAATTGAATTATTACGTTTCGTTTATCCATTTTATTTTACAACAGAAAAAGGGGGAAAATGTATTTTCAAGGGTATGAATTACAAGTCCTAATCAGTGATATCATGTTAAAAGAATACCTTGGTCCAAGAAAAAATGTACCGGTAATTTGAAAAATTATCGAAATTTCATTATTATATTTATTGTAAGAACAAGAATTATAAATATTGAACGAATTCGCTAATCGTAATTCATTCGGGGGGAACGCGCTATTTCAGTATCGATATACAAGCCCTAATTGGGTCGATAATTGTCAAACTGGAATAAGAATGGAAAGGTAGGTTTAAAACGACTACTTTTATGATTTTTTGGGATTTTTCTTTTATCTTATCATAACCTCGTTCCTATTTAGCGAATTTCTACATTATATCTTAATTCCTTCCTCATCAACTCCGTTCGCAATACAAGTTTCATCATCAAAAGCAACATTTTTGAAACCCATAGTTGCAGAAATTCGAATTGATGGAATTCCTATACAGGAAACCGCATCCACCACTTCTGCCGGTTCTTCTTTAAATCCGAAAGGATTAAATTTAGTTGGATCAGGAAAAAAGCAACAAATCTGTGTATTAGATAAAAATGAAGATAAAGAACAACAATTAATTGGTGCCATTTCAGTATTTTTTTATAAAGCTGAATCGCTTTTACAAAGGAAATCTGAAATACCACTTGCAATTTTACATTTACATTATCGATCTAAAGATATCATATCTGATTTAATTCAAAATAGATTTTTGAAAGAAGATATTGAAGGTTTTAATGACGAGGAGAAAGAAAAAAAGGATTTACCAATTGAACAAGAACAAGTAAAAAAGATTTATAATAGCGCTTATGGAGAGGAACCTTTAAGACAATTTCAAAATGAAATGACCGAACAAGTAAGTTATGATTATGATGTAGGGCTTGAAAAAGAATATCAAAGAGATGTTTGGGATCAGCCAAGAAACATGGAGATTATAGAGATCCTTGACGATTAACTTAATATGAGTTGGACTTTAAGAATTTTCGAGTAAATACATTAATATTTTTTTTTTTTTTTTTTTTTTTTTTTTTTTTAAAAAAAAAAAAAGATTTCACAAGTAAAATATTATTTTATATACATATATCTTATATATATTTTTCATTTTTTTTTTTTTTTCTGGATTGAAACCTTTGACCAATTATAACCAAATAAAAATTTAACAGTATTTATCATTGCAAATTATTTTCCATCTATTCCCCCATCAAAAAATTTCGTGTAAACTAGAGCGAAACCTTTTTGAGATAAAATAAATTCGTTTTATTTAATAAAAACAATCACGACAAAAGATAAGGGGACTCTTATCATGTTGAATCTAACTATATTTGGAAATCGGTCAAATTTTTACTTTTTTTTTCGCGTAAAAATGATTTGAGACCATAGCAAAAGCTAACTAAAACAAAAACTTTGCTTATTGTATGATCGCTTGTAAAACAAACAAAGAAACGATTTCTATTAGATTACATAATCAGCAATTCTTTAATTTTTCCGGATTAGGTAAAATCAGCCAATCAGGTTTTTTTTTTGAAAGTTGACGAAAAAAGTTCATCTTTTACAATATGAAAAAGTATGTTTCTTTCACTCGCCTCTTAATTTATTTTATCATTTCAAGTGTAACTCTATAATTACATGTAGTGATCCCGCCTTGATGCAGTTTTGCATCATCTGGCTTATCAAAGGGAATTACCTATTAGATGGTAAGTTGTGTACACATCTTTTCATGCATTGGGATGCAGAATTTGGTTATCCGACAGAAAAGATACAAGGAAAAAAAGATGACTATATAGAAAATTCCTTTCCAGATAATCTGACACGTGAGCTATATTTACTGTACGTACAAATCACCTATAAAATTATAAATTCATTTTCATGATTTAATGCATTGAAAAATTTATCATTTGTATCTATACAAAAAGAGAATTCTCAAGTTAAGATTATGTATGATATCATTATTACTTTTTATTATTCCGAAAAAAGCCTTTTCAAAGCTGATTATATCAAAGAATACTGATTAGCAAATACTAATATAAATCATTATCGCGAAAAAAAAAAAATAAAGTAAATGAACATACCAATTTGTTATAAAATATTCATATTACTAATTAATCGCGTTTTTTTTTATTTTGAAACTCGCGAAAGAATTGTTTTTATTATTGCTTCACATAAAATACATAACCTATTAAACAATTATTAATATATATTATGCAGTTGATTCAAAGAAGTTCGCAAAACAAAATAATTACTTTTTGTAATTCAGGTTTAACTACGGCAAAAGTTGAAGCGGCTCCTTGATCTCCTTCGCTATCGGATTCTGTATCACTCCAATGATCCTTTGCGTGAAATCGTGCTCGTCGGCATACAATATGAGCGTAATATACAGGAGGAACCTATTCATCGATTAGAAAGAATTCTATGCAAGAAAAATAAATTGTAAAACATACCAAAGAAACAGCGCGTGTGCAGCGAGCAAATAAATAGCATAAATTATATGAAAGTACTTGAAGTCTAAAACGTTCGCATTGATTAATTTACATTGAATATATTAAATATAAAGCAAATGTTTCTTTTTATAAACTTACGCGTCAGATGTGAAAGCATTTTCGTCAAATAGGACATGATAATGAGTTGGCCTAGATGTACCTTGCAATCCGGCATGACTTTGAAGATCTAAAAAAAAAAAAAGATTAATGTCAAAATGAGTTAATTGTATATGCCGTGAAATCATTTAAATTTAAACTATAAATACAAAAATCGAATTCATAGGGATGAGTGATTCCGGATTCGATTACAGTCCCAGGAAGGCAATTTCCAGTTCTATCAGAGTCGCGTTTATCTAGAGGAAAGAAACGAGTGTGATGTCGCTTTTGAACGACCACAAAAGTGATAGTCGGTTTATATGTCTGCTCAAGAGACATGCATGCAGCTATCTCGAGAAAAAAAATTAATTCACGAGGAAAAAAATTTCAAATTAATCATATTCAATATAAAAAAAAAAATTATTAGAATACCCCGAACCGCACTAATTTCTCCATCAAGAACTTGAGCAAATTGACCTTCAGAAACACCATCGCGATAAAAGAGAATTCTATCTGGTTTTCTTCCGCAAGTCTGATAAAAGGTTTTTAAAAGTTCTTTAACCATATTAGCCAAATCTGCAATAATTTCAGTACGACTAGTTTGAACTCTAATTGCTGCCGAATATCTTGATGCCCTAGCATCCATAGATGCACAAAGAGCTGCAATTGAAGGTCGAGAAGGATCACCTTTTTTATCGTTAAGGAAAGCGTATTAAAAATTTGCTAAATGGAATAATTTTTATATTTTTTTTTTTCTTTGCTTACCGGGAGATGGATGTGAAATGTCGGCCCCCATAAGAATAGTAGGTCTATCGGTAATGAAAGGAATTTGACTAGGGTTTATAAATGAGTTCATTCCACCGAGTTTTACATTGATTTTAAGACATAAATTTGCACAATACTGTTTCTTTGCTTGCATCATATGTCGACTTTGGACACATTGACTCGCAACACCTATGACAGTATCGGTAACACGTTTAATTTCAGCATAAAGAGGAACTCCGGTGTTGGGAAGAATACAAATTATCAACTGCGGCTGAGCTTTGGCGGCATTTCCTGCATATAGCCATGATGTCTTTAGCGTACCCTCAATATCGCCTTGAGGATTCGTATGCATTATAGGTGGTGTTCTATTTGGAACACTCTAAATGATACAAAAATTAGGATGAATTATCAGCCTTAGTCATATGATAAATAAAAATATTTCCTACCATTCCGTTTTCTTGACAAGTAATTACTAGCTCTCGAATAAATGCTTGAATAGATTGTGTTGGAAGATCGCGTTCTGATCCAAATGCAAGAATTGACCACGAACCAAGAACTGCGCCTTGTGCTACTTTCTTATCTTTTAAGTTCCAAGATCCATCGCGTGGTTGGAAAGTATGTTCACGCGAAGAAGGATGATACTGTAAAGTTGGTACAGGAAGAACGCGTGCCTGAATCTGTTGTAAATATAATAAATAATAATAATAATAATAATGTTTATTGGTTCGATTCTGAAAGTGTAAAATTTATTAATAAAATCTACTCACCACTATCATATCGTTTGTGACTTCCAAACCAAATTGTTTGAGATAATCATTCTTACGGTAGCTAAGGATGTCAACACCTTGTTTAATTTTATTTGCACGCATATGTGGTGACTGGCACGTAAATTTAATCATATCGGCCGTTTGTTTTTCATTCAGCTTGCGTATATGACGTTGACCCTATGATATATTATCATTAAAACTAACAAAAAATTATATCATATAATTCACAAATTATAAAAAGAAATTGTTATATTCACTTCGATAACTTCGCAAACCTCGAGTGGAAGGTAAACGTTCTTTTGAACTATTGCGCAAGGAAGGAATGGATAGGATAAACGTCTACCGTATGTTTTGGCAAAGTAACTCGCAACATCTATAGTAGTGCCATCGCCTGCATCAAATCTTGTTTGAGACGCAGGTGTAGGTGTGAGTTTAACGATTTTGAAATTTCGTTTGGAAGTTGCTTCGCCACGGTGAATAACGCGAATTTTAAGGTTTTTTAACGTTTTTTCAGCTCTAATTAGTTCTTTATCAGTAATGCCTCGACGAAGGTCATCAGGAGTTCTACGGCCTAAAATTTTGGTAACAATTTGTACAAGAGGTCCTGACTCATAAAACGCGGTTGCACTCAAGTCAACGTTGATTAACATTTTTTCTAAAATTATTATATTAAATAACGAGAAAATAATATAAAATTAAGAAAATTAGAAGCACATTAAAAACATTACAAACCTTGAGCAGGACGCGCCGATTGATAATATCCTTGCCAAACTTCAGCACCACCAAAGAGTGGTTGTGCTCCAGCTTTCGTGAAAAAGGAACGTCCGACCGTAACGTGTTGCATTGAGGGAAGATGGCGAATTAGAACATCAAGTGCCATAATCGCTAATTTTTAAAATTTCAAAAATAAAATAAATAAATTGCTCTAAAAAAGAAAATCCGGAACGAATAATTTTAATTTACCAGTTAAGCAGTTAGGTGTCATAGAATTTCTTCCTTGAAGAAATCGATGAAGTTCATCCATATAAATTTCTCCAGTTTTCTTAATTTTGAACTTGAAAATTTTTGGAGTACGCTTGATAAAAACTATTTCATTTTCGGGAAGAGTAACCTACATTTATAAACTTTATTAAAGAAACTAAAGATAATCAACTAAATAAATAGTTTTTAACTCACGTCAAAAGTGGCCGCATCCCCAAATGGGAAGTTTTGAGGAGCGAAAATATTCTTTCGTCCTAAAACGATAAGAAAATGATTGATATGCCGCAATAATAATTAAATTTTGTTATATTAAAGACGAACCATCAAAGACGGATCTAATTCCATTCAATTTTTCCTCACGATGAATCGTTTCAAACTCTTCAAATAACTTTCTGTTGAGTGCAGGTGGCACATCTGGGGTAATGGTGACGTCGTAGTGGATAATATTTTGAGTTGGTAAAGCAAGAACTTCAAAGAAATTAGAACGCACTCGAATTTGTCTTCCCAAAGTCCCTACAGACGGTCTTCTACAGAAAGTACTAATAATATTTTGACGAACTTCAGACATGTTTATATAATTGATATTTTAATGTGTTATGAAAGAAAATTTTCTTATAAAGAAATCGGTGTGCGAAATGAAGGATGTTCATTTATACACATTTCAAAATGTAAATTCACGCGAAAGCAACAAAAGCAAATATTGTATAACCAATTCCGTTAGTAATTGCTTGATAAAACGAGAACATAAATGGTTTTAGAATTTAAAATGGCAATCTTTGTGCAGGATTTTATCTTTTAATACCGATGAGACGTTTCGTTGGAATTCATTTATATATAACAAAAGAGTTACATGTTAGTTATTCGATTGTTGAGTGAAACTAGATCTCAATAAATTCCTTTCTGCATTTTAAAAATATATTTCATTAGAACTCCGTCTGAGCATAATATATTCAACACAATCTAATGATCATAAAAAATATATACTGTATAATATCTAATATATGTACTGTAAATTTATTCAGGAAAAGTTTAAATTATTAAACTGTTCCAAATTTGGTAGCATGTCACAAACTTATTTACTTTGACATGTTGACATGAGGTCGATTCTGCATGTGGAATCTTGTGATACAAATCATTTGATTATATTTCAACCCTTTTTCATAACAACCGGACCCTCTCAAGCTTTTTTTTATTGGGTACATATTAAAAAAAGGAGTTTTGTTATTCGATATTATGTCGCGTAATAAAAGAAAAGGTAAAGGTACTGGTCCAAGCGAAGGGTCTCGCAATACTCCTAATGTCAATCTTAAGCCTCGGAGAACACCACGAAATAATGGTAATTCTCCTCAAGGCAGCGGAGGGCGTGGTCACGGACACGATTTTGGAGTATCTAACGAAGAAATAGAACGAGTTAATGCTAGACAACATAACGCTCTTTTGGAAAATTTACAATCCTCTGCGCTTTCATATGATGGAAGTGACAAGCTTGTTTTCCTTTCTAGTAATAATTTGGAGGGTGCGTGGCGTAACTTGATCAGAAAAGAATTCCGCGATCAACGAATGATTAAATACTTCATCACGTCATGTTTGTTGGATGCTGATAAACAGACTGGTGTGGCAATAGAAACTCTCGTAGAACAATTGGGAAATCCTAAATTGGGCATTCTTCGATTACGAGAGATTTGTCAGGTATTTTTATTTATTTAAGAAATAAATTAATCAATAGATAAATCATTAAAATTTAACTAAGAAATTTCTTCAAATGAATAAATTGGTTACCTGTTTAGTACAAAATATCTGTTGATGCTGGATTCAAAAAAGATACTGCTTCATTTCAAAGTGTTATTCTTCCCTT